TCTCCATCCACTCTAGGTATTACAGTTGACTTCTACATCAACGTTGCAGACCCTGAAAATCCACCCAGGCCTTAAATACATGTTCATAACTATATTTATTATTCTTACACAGAAACCTTGCTTTCCTTCTCAGAAATTTGCAAGCCATTCAAGAATCCTCCTTCTCTGCAACCCTGAGTACGTCTGACTGCCAAGTTCAGTTGATTCAACCTCCTAAATATCCCCTGCTTTGTCTCTTCCTCTCCTTACCATCACTGCCTTTGTTTAGGTGCCCATGATTTCTGCTAGGGTCTCCTCATTGTCTAGGTGACAGCAACACCTAGATTAGCGTTTGAACAACCAAGGACTGTAGCCTCGCCATGCTGACATGTAAAACTGGCGTCACATAAACCCAGCATCTACTCCAGTGCCCCGTCTGCTCAATCCATGTTTGTGAGACGAAATGGCTCATTTTTAAGCCCAGCTCCATCATTTTCCAGACACGTCTCAGCGTCTGACTATGGTCAGCAGGTAGTTACTTATCTGGCACTTGTTACGAGTACTGCAGTGTAGAGGGCGATACCAAAAAGGCATGATTCTGGGCCCCAATCTAACTAAGGAGACAAAACACAGTCAGGTGAGTACAAGACAACCTTTGGACATGTTCCCACATGAATGTCTAAGCCAACATCAGATGTTTTTCATTGTCTTATAACAATTTTCTCAGGGTCATCCTTGTCTAGGTGATGACAACAGCCCCTTAGCTGTCTCCAGCTCTCTCCCTAGATTGTCCTGTATCTGGGCTGCTGACATTACTTTACTCATGTCCCTCCCTGCTCAAGAACCACAAGAACTCCTCCATAGCTGCCAAGTGAAGTCGAAAGTCCTCTGCCTAATTTTGAGGCTCTCCATACTCTGACTCCCTCCTTGGGTGACATGACAGCTCTCTTAATATTTTTGAAGTGCTGTCAGAGAGAAGGATTAGTCTGGTTCTGTGCTGCCCCAGCAGGCAGAGGTGCCATCACAGGTGGAAATTACAGGGAGACTTAAGAGCCTCAAAGTAGAAATCTTTCTTTCTTTTAGTGTGTGAATGTGGGTGGCAGAAGTGGCAGTGATGGTGTCAAGATTATATTCATGGAGCTCTGACAATGCATGGAACACCGTGTGCGGCTCCCACAGAACCTGTTCTCCGCCCACCAGTCTAAGGTAGCAGGAAATAACAAAACGTTGCACATCCAGTCTAAACACCAATTGCATGATATTTCTGATAGTTTAGCCAGAATATTGCCTATCAAGCCTCCTAAGTTAATCAATGAAGACAGCAGAGGGAATACTTTAGATTTTGAAGAAAATAAGCATTTGTGTTTAATGCCTCATCTCCACGTAACAGGTTTCTGTTGGAGACAGAGGCAGGGCCCAAATTAGGTAAAACCCTGTTGATCATGATGAAGAACTTGGCCTTTGTTCCAAAGGCAGCAGAAGTAGGGGGCAACGTGATCCCAGAGTGGAAGCCAGAGATGTGAACTTTCTAACAGGTGGAGCTTTGCAGCAGTGACACAGACGGCCTTGCAGAGCAGGGAGCCCCTAAACACAGGAGCAGGGGCTGGGGAGCCCTGCCGGAGATGCTGTGCAGTAAGGTCAAGCTCCAGGAGGGGCGCTGAGCAAGATGACTTCTTAGAAGGGCCAACCCCCCCCACCCCCCCGGTTCTGACATTCTCACCGCCATCCTCACCCCCACTTCCCCTACCCTGCACCCTGGTCTCCAGGCTGGATCTCTTCCGCGCTTGCCAGGAGGTGGCACCCGACCATCTCCCCGCTCTGAACTCTACTCTCCTTTCGGTCATTCAGATTCTACCTACCTACGGCAATGTTTCTGATAATAAATAATTATAGAGGTACCACAGGGAACTGATTGAATAAGCCATTAAGGTACATTCACATAATGAAATGTGTGGCCATTTACATTGAGGTGATGGAAGGCAATTTAATGATGTGGAAAGATGAGCACCATATTCTATGTGAAAGAAGCTGGTTACAGCAAGTTCTCATTTTTGAAAATTAACAAAAAATACTTATGCGTAGACAAAACACTAAATGATGTATATACATCAGAGTGTCATTCTCTGGTTAATGGGATAGGAGTTATTTTCTTTTTATCTATGTTTTCTAAATTTTGTATTTTATTTTCCTTTATATTTTATTTTATTTTATTATTTTTATTTTTGAGATGGTGTCTCTCTCTGTCACCCAGGCTGGAGTGCAGTGGAATGATGCCCAGCTAATTCTTAAATTTTTTGTTGAGACAGGTTCTCATTATGTTGCCCACGCTGGTCTCAAACTCCAGGCCTCAAGTGATCCTTCCACCTTGGCCTCCCAAAGTGTTGGGATTACAGGCGTGAGCCACCACACCCTATGTTTTCTAAATTTTATAAAATTATCATGATTCAAATTATATTGGCTTTTACAAAAGTAGTGTTTTAGTCTATTCATCAAAGCCACCCTCTTCTCTGTAAATTCTGACCTACACTTACCTTTCTGTCTCTAAACATTTTTTGTTGGTCTGTGTAATCCAGTACATGGTTATATATGTCTTGTGTTATTGCAAGGTTGTTTCATTCACGTTGGTCTTGTCTCTCCAACAAGGAAGTCTTCTCTGGCCACATTGTGACTTATTTTCTTATTTTTGCTGACACATGGCACTGTGCAGGAATTGGCCACTTGATGGTGGCTTGGTACTGGATCCTCTGGGTGTCAGTCACATAAACTACCTGGCTTTCCAGAGCAGCTCTGGACCTGGGGATGCCCTTCAACATCCTCAGTTCTCCTGGGCGTGGTGAGCCCCAGGGAAGTGACCCAGGTATCCAGGCACTGGCACAACATTCTGGCTCTCCTTCCTCTAGTGACTGGCCCAAGAGACCTGCAGAACCTAATGTCCTGCCCAAATTCCAAAATGAATGTCCTCTAGTAACTACAGCACAACTGAAGGATAGAAGGTCACTGTTGCATTCTTTTCTCATAATTTGTGAACAGCATTAGAGCTGAGGTAGTCTTTGGTGTCTGCCATTCTTTCAGAAATTACCCCACATCCTATTCTTGAAAACTGAGCCTTACAGCCATCGTGCCTACTGTGTGCCAGATACCATGCCAGACAGTAGCTCTGTAAAGCCAACTGCAGGGACCAGGTCCAGAGAGCCAGCCCTTTCCTTAGTCCACACAGGGAGGCAGCTACTTGCTTACCTTTCTACTAGCAAATCCTCTGAAATTACCTCTGCAATGATATCATCATGCTCCTTTTACTCCATGGGCGATTCAAACTCCACTGACCACCACTTAACAGTATTAGCATCTCTCCTTTCCATACTAAATCAAAGGGGCAGCATAGCCTATTTAAATGAGCCTTAGAACAGGAGACCCCGCTGGTTTCTTGACAGTTGTTTTCAAGTGCATTCAGACATGATTCTCCATAGGTGCTTGAAGGGCTGTCAGGTGGAAGGAGGACAGGATCTATTGTGTGACCCAATCCTATTGCTTCTACAACCCCAACATGGCTCCAGACCACCGTACACTTGCCTGGATTACCGTAGCAGCCTCCTAACCGGGCCGCCTGCCTGTCCAGTCTTGCTCCTCTAATCCTTTCTCCAGAGAAGCTAAGCGAAGTGTTTAAAATGTGAATCTGATCACACCACATCTCTGCTTAACGCCCTATGGCTTCTGAATCGCCTTCAGGGTAAGCCCTAAACTCCTTAGCATTGCTTTGAAGACCCAGCCCCTGCTTGGCAGTGGCAACGCCTCGCTCACATTGTTTCAGTCCTACCCAGCCACCTGCACCCCGAACCCCAAACGCTTATTCTCTCACCTCCAGGTCTTTGCCTGGAACATTTCCCCTCCCTTCTTCACCTAGTTGGTTTATTTGCCTTCCAGGTGTCACCTCAGATGTCACTTCCTCCAGAAGTCCACTCCAGTCACCCAAGGCTAGACTGGGTATCCTCTGTCCTCCAGGAGTATTCTAGGCTTACCCTATCGTCTCTCTTCTTTTATCTTGTACTTGCCTATTTACATGAATCTTCCTCTTCAGACGATAAGCTCATTATGGGCTGAAATTGTTTGTCATCATATCCCCAAAACCAGTGCATGACACACACAATTTACTGAATGGATGAATGACAGATGACATAAGAATGATAGGTGGAACTTTCAGGGGGGCACACTTCTATGTACTAAAGAACTAATAACTGGTTATATCCAAAAAAGGAAGACTGACCAATAAAGCACGGTGGAAGTCTCCACACAGAGCCCTCCACAGCAGGGAGCTCCTTCCATAGCCGGCAGGTTCCATAGCCGACCATGCCCGCCCTCACTTCCTAGCTATAGGAAGCCACAACTAGACTCACTTCTGTGGTCAAAAGACCTGGGCTGGGGCCCCACTTCTGCACTTACTGTGAGGCCGTGGACAAGTCACAGCCTCTCTGAGCTTCCTTGCTTACGAAATAGGATGATACCTGCGCTGCCTACTTCACAGTTTTTGTGAGAACCAAGAGATCACATATGATGAAATAGTTTGTAAACACCTTAAAATCAAATGAAATGCATTACTATTTATTACATAAACTTCAGGACTTGCAGCTTCACTGACTAATTTTAGTTTTGCAACTATATTAAAGAACGAAGTGCCATGTGTGAACTTCTGCTGCCGCAGGCAGAGCTGAGAATTAGAGAGATCTACCTCTTCTGTGCCACGATACAGGCCTAAGGAAGAGAGTGGGGACCAAGAGCCCTGTTTAGTTAGTGTCTGCCAAAGGCCCATTATTCCAGCCATCAGGGAGCTTCTTTGGGGCATACACCTAAGACGAGGGAAATAGGCCCTTGAAGTCTTAAATCATCATGAAAATCAGCAGAAACAAAAACTACAGATATACTCAATAAACCTTCCCTTTGGGTCCCTTGATTTCTACTTAAAGGAAAACCAAGAATGGTTGACAGCATTTCACTTCCCCTTCAACAAGACAAATCCAATGAAACCATTTAATTTAAAGGCTTTTTATTAGGAACCAGGGGAATGAGCTGCTTATCCCTCTGTAACAGTCTAGAGCAGGTCGTCAGGCCCAGGATGGAGAGAGGCTGTCAAAGGTGCTGTGTGTGGTGCGCTTTGCTGCACTTGCTTAGGGCCTGGAAGGAAAGGTGGCTGCAACAGAGGTTGTGGCAGGAACCGGTGTTAGCCAAGACACCAACAGCCTGAGGAGAGCCCTCTACCTTCCTTCCAACTCCACTCAAGGCTGGAGCAGGCCAGGAGACAGAACGTGGCTGGAGTAGGCAGGATGCAGCAGTGTTATCCGAGCCCCTGGCTTCTTCGTTCAGTGCTTCTTCACTTGCCTGCCCTCCACTCTTCTTGCCGTTTAGTGATTAGGTATTTGAAGAACTCGTACACAGACCACGCGATGGCTGTGGAGGGGATCTGGTAAATTACTCTAGCCTGCACCCCTCGGAAGTAGGCGGTCACCCCACCTACTTGATATACCGTCCTGAAGGCACTAGCCATGCCTGTGATGTGTCCTGTAATGTTTGAGTTCAAAGCCAAGGATTCCTGGGTGTTGAGCAGTGTTTTGCAAACGTCCAGTGGGGTTGTGGCAGCGGCAGCTACAGCTCCTGCACAGGCTCCGGAGAGGACGTGGGAGCTGGGGTTGTACCGTCTCTGGGGGTTAAAGTGCTCCTGCAGGAATTCATAGGTCATGAAGTGAATGGCTTGGAAAGGAACGTTCATGGTTAGCTGGGTGGTGTAGCTGCGGTAAAAGGCCCCGGCCCCTTCATTTCGCCACACTGCCCGTACACAGTCTGTCACCCGGTGGTATGGTGAGTTGTACATCTGCATCCTCTGCTTGACCACTGGTAGTGCCATCAGTGGGGAGCAAGGAAATGGTGACAGCAACCAACCGGTGACAGCAACCAACCAGTGATGGAGAGTGTCCAGATTCAGAGTGCCAAGTCAGCAGATCAGCCAGTGGAATAGAGAGAAAAAAGTGTGAGTGAGCTGCCAGTTAACCTGATAAGTTAATGTTTCCCTTTTACAGGTGAGGAGTAGGCAGAGGGTTGGTAAAGAGTCAAAAAGTAACAGACCCACTTCCAGTAGGATTTCTTTAAAACCAGCCAGTTAACATATATCTATGGTTCAGTAACTCCAGAGGGTCTCCATGAAATAAGTACCTATCTATTATTATTATATCATCCTTTCACAACTCCCAAGAAATGACTCAGTGACAGTACACATAATAATGAACATATAGCCCTGACAATCACAATCCTCAGATACTACGAACACCTACCTACTAAGATATGAGATGGTTATCCTCCCAGAGGGAAGGAGAAATGCTACCAAAATGAAAACAAGATTCTTAGCCAGAAAGAGTCTGGCTTTAGTTCCCAAACATATCCTACTCCCTCAAGTAGATAGCATGGTGTGAGCTCTGTGTTCCAATAAGAAAGGCAATATATTTAAGTGTCAAAATCTATCTTCGCCTCTTCAAAGAAAAATGAAAATCTGCTAAATTTTCAGGACAGATCAAACCACTACAAAGGGAACTTCCAGGAAGGCCCAGGAACAGGACATGTCTTATTCCAGGGAAGCCTCAAGGATGAATTAAATCCCAGTGAATAGGTTTCCTGCCCAAGGGGGGGGGGGGGGTCCCCCAAGTACTGAAAACATGGAGGGAGCGCCCTCTAGTGGTAAAACAAGGTAACAGGATTTCCCACCAAAACTGATGTGCTACCTAGCTTTCTTCTGTAAACCAGAAATAAAGGAAAAGCCCAGAGGTGCAGGTGAGTGCCACATAGGGATAGTCTGAGGAATCATTACCTTCCGCTGGATTCATGGCTGCATCATGAAGTAATGTGGCCACACACCCAGCCGCACCTGCAAACGAGAAAACAACTGCCACATGTAAGGCCAAGAGAGGGTGACCAATTCACTGAAGCCCCTGAGTGAAGGGAAGTGACTGCGCTAAACCACAGGGAAAAGGGATGTTAAGAGCCAGGCCAAAAGATGGGGACCCACTGCTCCTAAACTCCTGTTTAAGAAATGAAGATGTCTGTTCCCACCAACTTTAGTGAAGTCACCAGAGTACATTCCACATCTATGATAGGAAGGCTGGGAAGAGTCAAAAACCCAGATTTTATCCATAAAGATGGTTCTGCAGATAAATGTAGCTCATGCTCCAGACAGCAAGCAGATACGCTGCTGCCAAGGGATGCCAGCACATCAGCTGCGGCCAGTGGAGGGATAGCACGAGGGCCAGGTGGTCAGATCTCCACCATAGAATCCTGCCTTCCTCCTGGTGCCCCTAGGCTGCCCAACTCCAGTCTCCAAATCTCCCATTTGTCCATCTAGATCTTTCCTGCAGGTCCTGAACTACTCTATCCCTCACCCTCTCCACACCCAATTTGGTTTCCACACAACCCTGAACCCCTCGGCTGCTATCCTTCCCCTTACTTCTACATAGCCTCCAACCTTCTGGTTTCTCCACACAGCTCCTTGGCCCCACCCCCATTCACTTGTCAAGACTGTCATGTTCTCAACCACACAAACTGCCTCTGGTCAGTTGGGATCCTGCAAAGGTAAGGTGAAGAGCTGGAGCTTCATTAGTGTCTTCCTTGGGCAGCTGGGTCACCTCCGATCCTGCCCTAGGGGCAGGACACCACCCGACTATCAAGCTATGTACAAGGGGGGTAGTTTGTGTGTGTCTCCACATTACCAGGGCATTAGAAGTTGATGCCATGGAGAAGATGAGGGGATAAAGTCAAGCTGGTAGGTAAGGGAGGACACTGTAACCCTTTGTTGAGGTGCCCCAAAGGAGAGGTGGGGTTGAAGTGGCCCGTTGTCTGAGAACATCAGGTTTGGAAGTCCCTCCCTTATAATCTGGCCTACCCCAGCCCAGAGCTTCAGCTCCAAACCATGCTGAAACTGGAAAGCACTGACAGCAGCAAAGCCCAGAGTCGGGAAAGTGGGGGAACCAGCACAGGAAGGCTCAATACCATTGGCAATATGGCTATTGCCCCCAGGGTGGATTACATCACTCAGTGTCTTTTTTAACTTTTCGTAGCAGGCAAAATAAAGGGCGTGGGCAGGGCCTGCACCCGTTGCTGTGACGTTCAGCCCCCTCATGGGCCTCCATAGGCCCTCCGTTCTTATAATCCTCCAGAGGGCCTCCAACACATTGCGATAGCGGGCAGCTGGGTCAGGCTGTAGACTCTGCATCCGGGTCTGAAATTACAGCAAGGAGAAGTGCAGTGTCAGCGATGCCAACTTCTCACCCCACCTCAACACTCAGGCTTTGGGCACAGGGCAGACCTTCTACAGGGAACCGTGCCAATCTGTGAGAGGGACACATGTTATCCAACTTCACTTTTTTCCAAATCTAAAGCCACTCTTTCTAAGCCTTGGACCTTTCTTTTTCTAGTCATCTATGACTCTACGAGTGCAACACCTATTATTTTCCCTGAGGATATCAACACTTGGTAAGTGTTCTGGAACTCCAAAAGAATTCATAGCCACAGCAACAAATATTAAGCCTGTGTTACAGGAGAAGTTGCTTTGTGCCTTGACACACTCAAGCTAAAAGTTCTTTACAAATGGATTCTAAATTCAAGGATTTACTGTCTATAACGTACTTTATGCTTTACTTTTAAGACTGATCCTGGCCCTGCTTCCTGACCATACTCTACGCTAATGGATGATGGCTCATCTTTTGGTACTTTTTCAGACTATTTGGCACTGGCAGCTGGGTCTGCACCAAGAGTCTTGGCAGAAGTAGCATTCCTAATAGATGCTGCTCTTATTTTCTGGGAAAAAAGTTTACCCTGAAACTCTGAAGGTAGGGAGTGTCTAGTTGGAAACCAACCTAGTCTGTAAAACTGAAGGGCCTTCCAGATTTCTAATCTAAATTGACGAAATCTCAAAATTGGCATCAGCAAATAAAATCAGTCTCAGTGAAACATAAACCTTGGAATCTCTGGAGAAGTGAATAATTGTAATGAAAGTGTACGGTAGACACATTGTATGATGTTCCTGGACAAAGCTTTATTAAAAGTTGGGACATTAATCTTATTTGAAATACCACACCTTTCCTGAAGAGTGTCTCCCCAGAAAATCTCTCTTCTACTGACCCATTTCAAGGTTAAAGTAGCATGGAGACTAATGGTTAAAATAAAATTAATGTCTCAAAAAAAAAATCAATGTCTAGTGCCCAGCACACAATTGGCACTTAAGATGTTTGTTGAATGAATGAATGAATGAATGAATCTTTTGTCACATAATTATAACAAGTACAGTCACTGGTGAGCCCATAGGGGGCAACTGATGCCCAAATACAGTTTAAATTCCTGCTTCATTCCAATCATTAGATTCAGTTTAGATTTAAAAGCTTGAACCTTCCTGTTGGCCAAACAGAATCCAAGAGTAATACCTTTTCTCAAGAGTGTGGGAAAAAAGAAACCAACCAGATTAACAGGTCCTAGTTTGCCACAAGCAATCCACATTCCTCTAGAGGTATTTTCTCCTGCCTGCTACTAACAAAAACCTGGAAGCCTAACAGGTTAATTATTGGAAGTTCAATCAGAAATACCGTACACAGTATTACTTATCACAATTTGACACATTCTTTTCCACTTCTCCCCCCTCAAAAAAAAAAATCCCATGTATTTCCAATAAAGAGTGTGCTTATTGATCTTTCACATCACCCCAAGGGTATAAAATCCATCAGAGGAGTTGTTCAGAGAGACTATGGGTCTACGCTGGCTATAGCTAGTAATAAACAAAGATTAACTGGGCCTGGTGGCTTAACAATTGTGTTTCCTACGTCTGTCCAAAACTGATCTTATATAGGGGGAATGTTTTGAAACTGCATTGCTCTGCAGGAGTCAATGGTATATTTGGCAACTAGACTTAAAAGGTCTGGCCTCAGAGGCTTGGAACTCTTCACTGGCAAAAGAAAACTGAATTGTAGGTAAGCTACTTTGAACATTTTACACACACATCTAAATCTAACTCAACAATTCTAACTTAATGAAAATATACCATTATGGAGAGGACCTGGGTATAACCTATGTCAAACAAATGAATATGGCTCCCCAAATTTGTGGGCCAATAAATCTACCTTTTGCAGAAAGATGACATCTCTAAGTAAGAATTTATGAATAGCCTTCAGTATGAAAAACCTCTGCCTGGCTTTGAAGAAAAGCCAAATAAACTTGTAGAGAAGTAAGTGGTTTGGTGTAAGACAAGCCACACTTGAGTCAGAAAGCCTGAGTTTGAGCCCCAGCTCTCTGAGCTTCTAAGTTGTCATCTATAACATGAGGACAAGAATGGCTGGCTCATAGGGCTGTTGTGGGGATTTAAAGAGATAGAGATAAGGCATGTAAAAGCTGTTGGTAATTTATAAGGTGGTATAAATATAAGGCTTTTTATTGTATTCAAATGACTCCAAGATGTATTTATTCATACTAAGAATTTACAGATGATGGCAGCATTGTCTCTTATATAAGTCATTTCACAAACATGCACAGGCAACTGACTGGTCCTTAGCCACTAATAACTCAGGGTTAATTCTGTATTTTTTGTTTTCATTTTAAAGTTTCTCTGTGGTTATAACGATTTACGTGTTTAGTTATTGTTCTGAAGGTCATCTGTTAAGGGACAAGCTCTACTGTGAGATTCTGTGCCTTGCCTGGTTCTTGATATCTGCTTTTGGGAGGGTATATGGAAGGCCTGGGAGTCAAACAGAATGGGTTCAAATCATGACTCTGCCACTTAAACTCTGTGACCTTGGACAAGTTACTTAACTGCTCTTTAGGCCTCCTTTCATCTATAAAATAATGAAAATAGTGTCTACTTTATGAAGTCGTTTCAAGGATTAAATGAATAAATGTATATAAGGGACTTCAGATAGTGCTTGGCACATCGAAACAATTAGCATTTAGTGAATACTTATAATCATTACTAGATGCAAGAAAATCAAATCAGCCAGTGTTTCCATTTCCTAACCTTTCATAGGTGAATGTGTATACATAACCATTTACATGTGGCGTTTCAAAAAGATTTACCTCCTTGTACCAACTGGAAATTAAAAAGGAAAGATCCATTTTAATTTATTATGTACGTAGATATTTACCTCACCACTACAGAGCCAAAAACAGCACCTTGGTGACAGGTGGGTACTTAGCCATATGATTTTGAGAAGGGTTCTGACTGCTTTGGTTTGCAGAACCTGTCCCTATAAAGTCTGGTGCTTGCTTCCGAAGCCCAGAAAAGAAAACTGGGATTTATCTGGGCCCCCAAACCTCCCTATTTTGACCATAGAAATAGCTGGCTAAATAACCATGGCCTAGCAAGGCTATGCTGACTTCCCATGGTCCCTCCCAAGGATATTTTAAGTCAACTTGACCCTGATAAGTGGCTGGGGGTGCCTTTGCGTGCCAAAGGCAATGGCAGCTTTCATTTGCAAACACTGTGGTTGCCCTTTAGGCTCCAACTCCGATACATCCCTCCAGTCTTAGAGTAAGGTTGGGCTGCTTTTCCCCTCCATCATCCACTTATTAAAGAAGGATAGCTGTCAGGGGACAAGTAAACTGGGAAGCCCTTTCTAAAGGAAGGGATTTGAATTTTACTTTCATGCCTGCACAAAAACATTTAACATACTTACTGACACTAAATCATACTGGTCTCACTTAGTGCGTCCCTCTAAAATCCCAGCATTAATGGCAAATGAAAATGATTCTTCTAAAATAAGCTTTTGTATTTTTGAAAACTCCTGAACATTCTTCCTTCAGATCGAATAATTATTTCTTTAATGCAGGGCTTTTAGGTATGACCATAATGTTGTATGACTAATTTTTTAAAAACAAAAATTCCAAAGCTCATATGGAAATGAATAAAAAATACTGTTCAAAATAGTTACCTTGACCTATTCCAGCAAAGCTGTGCTTATGCAAAACATTTCCAGAACTCCTCTCTTACAGAATTGTTTCCTCAATGGGTTTATAATCCTCAGGAGTAAATCAGTCTCCTTGCTTCCCAGTCCTACCTTATCTCTGACCCCACGCAGTATTACCCATTTTGATCTCCCACTTTATTCGCCTCATTTGATTCTGAGTGATCTGTTCCTACGAAATCAGTTCCATTTTGGCACAGGACAAAGATTTGCCCCAATTAAGGATATGCACCCAAATATTCTAGAGGCATCTGTACAGGAATTTATAAAATATTAACAGCAACAATAGCATTATGCAAATATATAGAGTAGGGAGACAGACTCCTATTATGTTGTAATGAGACCAGTGGTTAAACTGAAAAGTTGTAGTAATATTTCTAAGTCAGTCACATTATTACATTGTATTAGTAAAGCAATTAAATAGTTTTCACTGCTTTCCCTGATTTGTTTTTCATTTGACACTCTCCTGAAACATAGCACCCTAGACCCTGTACTCTACTCATAGTCTGAGTATAGTGAGGTTACTTTGCAGCTAAATCATATTAACTTTTGGATATACAGCATTAACTCCCAAGTCGTTCAACCTAGAGTCTATACGTAACATTGCATCTTTTTTATTTGTACTAATTCATTTTACATTTCAATATTGTTACTTTTCTCTCATGGATTTTACTGTTTATTTCTATTTTCCCAATAGACAAGGGCATCTAAAATTCTAATGTCCATTTCAGTCAAGTGCATTTACCACATTTTCAGTGGACATGGCCCTTGTTAGTAGTTACCTTGTAATGTGCTAAAATACTCCTGCCAACTCAATGCCATTCATAAAGCTTAATGAGCACTTTCCTCATTTCCTCATCCACATTACTAATGAAAACATGAAATGCTACTGGAGCCAGGGGGAAGCAGAAGAGAACTACTTTGCATTTCCCAAGCTGATTCTCTCCTTTTGAATCCATAACATTTTCCTGATTTGAGAGGAAGTATACATCAAACAGCTGCCAGGATACTGTTTGACTATTACCCTTAACATGTAAAGGAGGCACCAGTCTCTGTCATTATATTTATTTCAACAGTACCCTCTAGTTTACTTCTCCCTCGATTTAGTCCTCACCTTTAGTGATTGGCACCTTTACTAATGTACAAAAATAAGAACTGTAAAGAACAATAATCTGTTCCCCTCTTCACCCAGCTGTCTTCAGAAGGTTGTGACTTCTGTATTCATTAATTATCCTGCTTGGTTGTGAATGCAATTAGTTTTACTTTCACATGATCATTTCCTCAAGTAGATCTAATTGTATTTTCTTCACACTGACATCTACTTTCTAATACCGGCACACTTTCCTTTTAGGCAACTTCTTCCTTTTTGCCAACTTCAGGTGGCCAAAGAAATACACCATCAATTTCATCTTTCTTGTTTGGGGGCTGATGTGCTCCCTGCATTTACACAATCCTAATCCCAGCTCAATATTCATGTTCAGGAAATAGGTGGGGAATCATGCTCGCCTCAGAGAGAAACCGAAACCTTCTCCTGAACATGAACTTTCTCCATATTATTTCCAATCTGGAACTCTGAATTCTGACAGCACAATGATTTGCAATTATTCATGGGTTCAGATTTATTAATAATATGGAAGTTCTTTATCTAGCTGAGAGATCCCAGATTTAGGTTCGTGCCCCGTCACATAAGAGAAGACATAGCAAGGAGCTTGTAAAAGCACTCGCCCAGAGAACATCTCTAGCCTTAAGATTCCATTCAGAGTCTGATTCATGCCAGTTGGCTTCACCTTCATCGAGTTAGTAGCACTTACCTGCGCTTCGGGATACCCCATCCCACCCTATTCCTGTTTAGTCCCAGGTGGGATCCAGGGCTTTGGCTGACAGATTTTCGATCTTGAGTCCCGATTCAGATATCACTGACAGTTAGAAATAGGTCCTAGTTCCTAACTGAGATCAATTCCCAGCCGGGACCTTGCCTGCATGGAGTGTCGGTTCGAATCGTGTGGTAGTGGCAGAAGCCAGGAAGGAACCCGTGTCGGCTCCGACTCTCAACCGGGATCCTGGCTCCGGACAGGACCCAGGGGTCGGGTTCGGAGCCCGGTCCAGCTCTCACCTTGACGCAGTCGATGGGATACATCACGCAATGCTCCAAGATCCCTGCCACGGCGCCCGCCACCATGTACGTGGTGACAGTGGCTCCAGCCGGCAACGCCTCGTAGTCCGGGCCGGAGTCCGGATCCTGTCTCACCGGGGGCCTGCAGGCCCCGGCCTCCCCGCCGCCGGCCCCCCGGCCCACGCCCCGTTGCAGCCACCCGTCCAGCAGCGCCGACTCCCCGGGGCTCCGCCCGGGCCCAGCCGCCGGCCCCCCCGCCACACCGCCAGCACCCCGCCCCTCCAACTCCATCCACCCGGGCCAGCTGCGGCGCCCAACCCCGCCGCCGCCACCACTGCCACTGCTGCCGCCGCCCCCCAGCCCCGTGGTGTCCGCCTCAGGCGCGGCCCAGAGAGCCCGGGGCCTCCGGCTCCCGCTTGGCTCCGAGGGCACGCCCCTCACCCAACCATTGGTCCACACGCCAAGTTAGCCCCACCCCTTTCCCTACGTAGGAAAAATTTGCTTGTGGTATTAGCGAAGTTGTCTGTCATTCCTCCGCCCTGAGGCGTTACTACCGCCTAAATCCCACCCCTTCCTCTTTGATCTTGGAAGCTTCTTGTTTATTGGCCCCTGATTGGCCGGCATGTAAGATCAACCCGCCTCCGACTTTTTAGGAGGGCGGGAGAAACTTAAGGCTGAACTTTGATAGGCTCAACCACTCTTGATACCTTGACCGCGGCCATTGGCCCGCACCACGTCGGTCTCTGATTGGCCACAGAAAGAGACCGAAGCGCCAGGTTACGATAGGGGCCGATTTGGGGCCCCCGACTAGAGCTTGCAGAGCTGCAGGCGCTGCGGGCAGGATGGCGTGGGGGTGGGGTGGTACCAGGCCTTCAAGGTCAAACCGCTGACTGACGCTGTAACTACCCGCGCTCGAGTGTGCGCCGCAGATGCTGAGATGCGCGGCTCGAGGACTGGCAGCTTCGGCCCCGAGACCTCTGTTCCCGCGGGATCTCGTAGCGGGCGTGAGGCGGAACTGGCCTAGGCCGGTCTTCCCCTGGCACGACCCGCGTGCCTGTCCGGGAAGCCGTTGCGACATGCGGGCCAGGGTCCGCCTCTCCGCCCGCCAGGGAGAACCGGGGCGGCCCGTTAGACTCGGATCGAGCAGACTCCGGAGGATCCGGTGCTCTTGAGGCCCCAGCGCCCGGCGGTGGGCGATGCACCCGAAGTCACTCAGTAAACCCCTGCAGTGGTTGAATGAATGAATTCTCCATCCCCGCCTGTAGCTGGGCTCTACGCCAGGCCGAGAGCTGGGAGCGGAGAAGGGAGATGTCGAAATAGAGTGAGATGATTCAGAGGTGACGACCGGTGGAGAGATCAGACTGGAAGGAGCGTCCCGAATGCAGCAGGGAAAGTACAGCAACTATCCGGAAGCTCGGGCGTACAGCTAGCTTGTCCTGACTGTGAAACATCAGCATCCTGTCCCTGTTACTGATGTTCGCCACTGCCTGGTGATGATTGCCTTTTGTGATAAGACCGCTCTCCTTCCCAGTCGGATCAACTGTAGTCTTGAGAGATGTGCTCCTTGTAGAACAATGACCGTGATTCCCAGCCTTCGGGCACTTCCAGGGCCGAGATGTCGCACAGGAGCGGGCGCTGCACGGAAATGCCCGGAAGCACTGCTAGAGCTGCAGCCTCTGCTAGGAACACAAGCTCCTTTTCCACTCGGATTGCCTGGCTTCTTCAGGATCTTTTCATTGGAGTGTGTTGCACAAGGCTTGTTGCACAAGCCTCCCCGCTGTTTCCAGCTCTGTTTTTACTACCTGTTTTCCTGAGATGATGATGCAATTGTGGACTTTTCTATCTGTTTATAGCTTTTCCTTAGATCCGGAAGAGATTTTCCTTTTTCTCTGTAAAGCTTAGCCCTTCTCTCTAGGCGTTTTTTGTTTTTGTTTTTGTTTTTAATTCATCTGTTCTCTTCCTCTTCAGCAGTGGTTTGGGCCACGACCTTTTGGAAAGTGATAAAGCCACAAATTTTCTTTTTCTCTTCCCACCTCCTGTCCGCCATGCGCACACAAAATATAGCATATCATTTCCGAGTTTCAGAGTCCCCAAACGTGGCTTGTGGACTCTCTAGGGGTCCATTAACCTCAGGCTAAGGACCCCTCCCCTACTGCATGTTCAGTATTCCTTCTTTGCTAGCTTATTTCCCTTGAGAAATGAATAGGTCTCGCAAAAAGAAACCCACTCAATCCTGCTAGAGTACTATTAATAATTCTCTTTACTGCCAGATTACTCCAGTAATGACTATACCTCTATGTCCTTTCTCTCCTTAAACTCTACATTTTTTACACCTTTATTCAATTATCACAAACGACCTTTCCAAATCCAGTGGTCTTTTTCTTATTCTCATTTTTCTTGACTGAGAAATAACACATGCTCCCCCATTGACCCATCCCTCACTGAAACTTTTTCCTAGCTTCAGGAACCACACTGTTCTAGTCTACCTTTCAGGGTCCTCAGTCTCTTATACTTATCTAGTCCTTGAGGTGGACCACTCCTAAAGGGCTGATGTTTCTGGGTCGTCCTTAATATTTTGGAAACTTTGCCATTCCAAACCTGTTTTCCTCATTGGAGCCCTTCTCTACTTCCCTTTTTGCATACTTTTAACTGAAATTTCCATGGGAACATTCATTTAGTAAATACTTAATGGAGTAATAATTGTGTACTTGAAGCTGGGGTTACAGGATAGGGTCCGTCCTTTGATGAAGCTTCCTTTTTAATGTAAGGGCCCCAGGCTGATGGAGCCTCCGTCTGAATATTCGCTAGTCATGTGGCAGGAGGCAGAGGTGGCAGACAGAAAAAGCAAGAAAAATACCAGATAGCTTTAGGTGCCATGCTGATAATTGAAATCGGGTAGTGTGATATAGTGTAACTAAGTAGCTACATTTGTATGACTAGGGAAGGCCTTTCTGAGGAGATGACACACTAAGTTCTGAATGACAGGCAAGAGCCAGTCATGATACACCTGGAGAAGAGCATTCCAACAGAAAAAACAGTAGGTACAACAAACCTAAAGTGAGAACAAGGTTGGTGTATTAAGAATGGAAAGAAGGCCAGTGAGGCTGGAGCATGGGGAGCAAGGGGGGAAGTGATGGAAGATGAGGTTGAAAGACAGGGAGTGAATATCTACCTTAATTTCTGACTTTCTACCTTAATTTCATGTCCATTCCAAACTCAGCCTTTCCACTTCCCACCCCAACGAATTCCTCCCAAATTTTCCTTTTCTACAAAAGTATTTATTATTTGCCCAATCAATGAAACTCTAAAGTCTTCCTTGATTTCCTTTCGTTTTTTTGTTGTTTTTTTTTTTTTTTAGAGACGGGTTCTCACTCCGCCTCTTAGGCTGGAGTGCAGTGGTACAATCATAGCTCAATGCAGCCTTGAACTCCTAGGCTCAAGCAGTCTTCCCTCCTCAGCCTCCTGAGTAGGACCACAGGGGACCACAAGCACATACCACCATGCCCGGCTCATATTTTTTATTTTTTATAGAGATGGGGGCCTCACTGTGTTATCCAGGCTGGTCTCAAACTCCTGTCCTCAAGTGATCTTCCCACCTTGGCCTCTGAAAGTGTCAGGATTCCTGGTGTGAGCCACCATAGCTGACCAGTTTCCTTTCTTGAGTCTTCCTTGACTACCCATTCAGAATCATCATTATTCTGAAATGTTTCTTTTGTTTGTGCTCTCCTTTTCCTGCCCATTGATATACTTTCCCTGATTCTGATCACTTTATGTCTGTATTGTAATAACCTCTTGAAAGGCCTCCCTGCCTCAGGATCTCCTAGCTTCACCAGTATTTTGATTCCCCTCTTTCCGGGTATGTGGTAAGATGTTCTTTCCATCTCTTTGTATGGCCATAGGATTTGCTTTGGCCGTGAAACATGAGGGGAGCACGAGAGACACACATTTCCTCCCCTGCCACATGACTAGTGAACGTTCAGATGAAAGCTTCATCATCCTGGGGCCCTGGTAAGGATGACATTAAGCAGAGTCCCCCTCCCCTTGCTCCCAGATGGACTTTTAGCATCCGTGAGAAATAAATCTTTAAGATGCAGAGCTTTTAGGATTATTCCTTACCACGGCAGAATTTAGCCAGAGCTTCTCAGACTTTAATGTGATATTAAATGATGTTACCTGAATAACTTGTTAAAATGCAGATTATAATTCTCTAGGTCTGAGTAGGGCCTGAGATTTTGCATTTCTGTCAAGCTCCCAGGTGATGCAGATGCTGCTAGACCCTGGACCACGCTTTGAATAGCAAGGACCTGACCCATCCTGAGTATGTGATACACCGCCCTCAACACATCTACACACATATCCATACACACTGTCCTACATCTCACCAGCACTAAACCTTCCTGAAAAACAAATTAGTAAGTAAAGAAACAGATTTCTTGGGGATATTCTTTATAAACCCTCAATAGCTTCCTGCACCTGCAACTCCTCAGTCAGATAATGTAGAGTCTTATTTTCTTATATTCCCACACGATTGTTTTTCATGTTCTCCTATCTCTTGTCATTTTCTTTTCTACATCTCTCTGTGAGACCAGTAGTTGTCTTAATATCAAGTCTCATTTATTTTCTTTAGTAATAGAAACCCCCAGTTTTAGCTTGGACACATGGCTTCCCAGCCAAAGCCCATATTTTCCCGTTTCCCCTGCAGCTAACATTGGCTGTGTAACTAAGCTCTAGCTAGTGGAATGTGAGAGAAAGTGACATGTAAAACACCTGGGTTGTGCCTTTAAAAGAAAAAGATATGTCCTCTTGCTCATTTTCTCCCTTCTCACCAGCTAGAACACAGACCCCGAAGATGGCAACCACTTTTGGCCATGAGGACAAGGCCTATACCTTAGCAGGTGACAGAGCAAAAGATAGAAGGAACCTGTGTTCTTAATACCATGGAGCTGCCTCTCACCTCTGGACTACGCATGCTCAGGAATGAGAGAGCTTGTTTAAGTAGTTGTGAATCTGAATCTTGGTTGCAACAGCTGAATTTCTATCCTGATAGACACATGCTCTTCCCCAGAATGCAATTCTCCCTTTGTTCTTATCAAAATTCTCATTATTGAAGGTCCAAAACAGGTCCCACTACAGCCTCCAGTTCACGTTACCTGCTTTCCTTGAACTGCCATCATTCCTGGCATGAGGTATGAGTGTGATATAAAATGAGATTGATTGCAGCAACCACACATGAAAATTAGACTGATTTCTTTACAGTCACTTAAAGAGAAATTGATTCCTAAATGTTAAAGAATAGACCGTGAGAGGTGTAGGAATTCAGTGATGGGGCAATCAATGAGGACTGAAGGGATGAGGAGATATCATATATTTCAGCAGTTTTCAAAGCAGAGAATGTACACATTTTCTAAGGGGTATGCGG